AGCATTCGTTCCAGACCCCCAAATACAACCACTTAACACTGAAAAATGTAATATAAAATTGTAAAAATTGTAAAAAAGTGCATACATATGCATCTAAACCCCTGAAATAAAGAATATCATTGATACTTGTAATAAAAAACAATAAATTGGTAAAAAAAAAAAAAAAAAAAAAATTTAAATAATGTTCGTTGTAGGAGTTTCGTTCGTTATAGCATTCTCAATTTTATAGGTAAAACCGTTCGTTATAGGACTATTCATAGTAGGATCCGTTCGTTATAGCATACCCCACTGTATTTTATTGGAACACAAAAAATAAATAAATAAAAATTTTGACAGCGGTCACTTGAATTTCGACGGGTTTGAACGGCCCGCCAACGTGCAGACGACGTGCATAATCGTGTAAACAGCGTCATTTCTCTTATGTACAAAAGATTCATTATTGTTTATTACTGAATGTCTTTTTTATTGAATTAATGTTTATGTGTGCAAAATGAGCAATACAATTCATTAATAATACGTAGAATATTAAAACACACTAGGAAATGACACAGCATTGTTTTCGTCGATTACAAAACCAGTGACTGAGTGGTTCTACATATAAAACCAGAAAATATGACCCTGGTTGTAGCTGTAGTCAAATTAATGTAAAAAATTAATATGGTTGTTTTAAGTAATGTTATTTAATGTTAATAAATAGAACAATAAAAGTAGCAAACCATTAATGTTAAAGAAAAACAATAAGACTGCGCGTATATAAGTGCGCACATGTGAAAAACATATCGTCATTACTCTACATAAGAATATGAAAGCAACACTTATTTACTGCTTTATCTGTGTTATTTTCGTTGGTTTATTAGGATGTTGCTTTATTAGAGGTAGTAATCCGCCAAAAAAGTAAGGAAAATAAGTCAAAATTCACCCTCGAAACACCCTACATAAAGCATAAAAACATAAGATAGGAAATAAATAAATAAGAATACAGGGTACTATTTCATTAACCCTTAATGCTACCAAAATTCTGCTTTCAAAGTGAAGTGATGGTACAGTACTGACACTCAAATTACATTTGAGTTACATCAGGGATGTTGGCTGTGGTGTCAGAGGTCGTGGCTGTGGTGACATCAGGTACATCGGGGGCAGAGGAACTGCTGGCAAGTGGATTTGCTATGCTAGAGTGCTCTTCACTGTTTTTGTTGGCTCTCTTCTTGAACCACTCTTGCAAAGTTGCTTGCTTCATGTACTTAGGATTCTCTTTATTCAATTTAGATTGAATCAAATAGACAGCCATGATTTCTTGCTCCGTAATAAAACTCTTTTGTTCTAGTCCCGTGATTAATTCTGTGCACAGCTGGATGCACCTGTCAATAGAAATTCTTTCTTTGATATCCTCTTCCTCCTCTTCGCTTACTTCGTCATCTTCCTTCTCTCTTTTCTTAACCATCTCCACAATCTCTTCATCAGAGAGTTGATACACAATAGGGGCATCTTTGTCAACATCCATCCACTCTTCCAGCTGCTCTTCACTCAGTTTATTGGCCACTTCAACACACACAGGGTTTGTCATTGTATTAGCATACTCAAGCAACTCACGAATAACTTGCTTTTCTTTTAACACATGAAATCCAGCAAAGTCTTGGTCCACATCTGCACTCTCCTCAAACATTAAGGCTGGCCACAGATTATGCCATCCATTCTTCAAAGTTGATGGAGTCACCTTATCCCAGGCATAGGCAAGTGTCCAAATAACATCCTTTAGGATAACCTCTTTCTTGAATGCTGAAACATGCTTCCCAATATTCACTGCAGCGAGCAAATGGCACATGAAAGCGGCTCTATTCTTACACTTAAGTGAGCGTAATATGCCCTGATCACAAGGGTGAATCAGAGATGTACAATTTGGAGGTAAAAATAGTCCAACCACATTGTCTTTCACTAAAAGTTCAGCATTAGGGTGGGCAGAACAATTGTCCAGAATCAACACTATTTTACACTTTGGATCTAGGCCTACTGAGGTGCAGTGTGCTCTAGCCTCATGCACAAAATACCTTTCAAACCACTCTAGGCATAGTTTTGTAGTTATTCACCTCTTCTTGTTACCACGGTAGATAACTGGAAAAATTTTCACACATTTAAATGCCCGTGGGTTGACACTTTTCCCAATTACCATTAGCTTACACCGGTGAGTGCCTGCTGCGTTGCTACAACCAAGGACCGTAACCCTATCCTTCGAGTCCTTACCACCTGTTGGTGCCTCATCACTCTCTGTAGCTAGCATTTTTCTAGGCATACAACGCCAATATAGAGCAGTCTCATCAGCGTTATACTGTACACTTGTTTTAGGGATAACTTCTCCTTTGCCACAAACTGCGAATTCATCCACATACTTGACAGCTGTTTCACTGTCTGCACCTCGCTTTTCACCACACACATAATGTAAAGAAATACCATGCCTATTTTTAAACTTGTGTAACCATCCTTGCGAATAATCACAGGCATGCTGAAGGTTTAGTTGTTCATGAAAGATCTTTGCTTGCGCCACAATCATCTCGCCTGAAATGCTTACTCCATCATTACGCCGAAGCTTAAACCACTGTAATAAAGCACTGTCTAACTCACTACTTTTGCCTTCTTTCAATGTCTTACAAGTTATCATAACTTTCTTGGTCTCACTGTCTGCAGAAATCTTAAATATCTTGTCCTTCTGCTTCTTTATGTCATAGATCGTGGTTGACCCAACATCGTACTTCTCACACAAGTTGCGTACCGAAGCACCCTTATCTAATTTAAGCAATAGTTCAACCTTTTCCTGGATAGATAGTGACTTGTGCTTACGCTTGGAAGTACAGGTTGTACCTCTCTAGTCCGGCAACCTCGGGACCTGACCGGTGCAGGACCATGGAAATTCACCCTTTTCCTGGATAGATAGTGACTTGTGCTTATGCCTGGAAGCACTAGCACCACTTTCTCTGCGTCATGGTCTCTTTGAAGACATATTGAAGGGATAAATGTCGTATAGTAGCCTCTCAAATTTCGCGAGTTTTTAATTCTTAACGTATTTTATTGGAACACAAAAAAAATAAATAAATAAAAATTTTGACGGCGTAAACTTGAATTTCGACGGGTTTGAATGGGCCGCCAACGTGCAGACGACGTGCATAATCGTGTAAACAGCGTCATTTCTCTTATGTACAAAGATTCATTATTGTTTATTACTGAATGTCTTTTTTATTGAATTCATGTTTATGTGTGCAAAATGAGCAATACAATTCATTAATAATACGTAGAATATTAAAACACACTAGGAAATGACACAGCATTGTTTTCGTTGATTACAAAACCAGCGACTGACTGGTTCTACATATAAAACTGAAGAAAATAAGACCTTGGTTGTAGCTGTAGTAAAATTAATATGGTTGTTTTAAGTAATGTTATTTAATGTTAATAAATGGAACAATAGAAGTAGCTAACGATAATGGTAAAGAAAAAGAGAGATCGCATATGTAAGTGCGCATGCGCACACGTGAAAACATATCGTCATTACGTTACATAAGAATATTGAAGCAACACTTATTTACTGTTCATATATATTTTAATTAATGTTTCTGAATTTGTTTTTAATGAATTAATGTACGTGTGTGCAAAATTAACAATACAATTTATTAATAATACGTGGAATATTAGAGGAGACGAGACGGCTGCCGGCATTGTTTATGTTAAAGCTTACGAAACCAGTGACTGATTGGTTCTACATATAAAACTGAAGAAAATAAGACCCTGAGTTTAGCTGTAGTAAAATTAATGTAAAAAATGAATATGGTTGCTTGAAGTACCTGTAATGTTATTTAATGTTAATAAATGGAACAATATAAGTAGCTAACCATTAATGGTAAAAAAAAAAGTGAGACTGCTCGTATGTAAGTGCGCACATGTGAAAATATATCGTCATTACTCTACATAAGAATATGAAAGCAACACTTATTTACTGCTCATATATATTGAAGGGTTAAATGTTGTACTCTGTATAGACAAGCAGAGAGAGAGAGAGATAGCAGCCGAACTGCCGGATGTAAACAAACCTTAATTTCCCGCAGCTTTTTTTTTAAGGGGATTAGCCCACCCGGGCATAGGTCACTGACCCACATTGGGGCCTGAGGGGCAAAAATTTAATACTCCTGTAATAATAATAATAATTCAGATAAGTAAAAAAAAAAAAAAAAAAAAAAAAAAAAAAAAAAAAAAAAAAAAAAAAAAAACCACTACCTATCTACCTATTGGACAAACTAAAATCGTTCTGGACCACGGGAGTTTCCGGACCACAGAATGCCAGACTAGAGAGGTACAACCTGTACTAGCACCACTATCACTGCTTCGTGGTTTCTTTGAAGACATATTGAAGGATTAAATGTTGTACTCTGTATAGACAAACAGAGAGAGAGCCGAACTGCCGGCTGTAAACAAACCCAAATTTCCCGCGCCTTTGTTGTTTTTTTTACAGGGATTAGCCCACCTGGGCACAGGTTCACTGACCCACATTGGAGCCTGAGGGGCAAAAATGTAATACTCCTGTAATAATAATAATAATAATAATAATAATAATAATAATAATAATTCAGATAAGTAAAAAAAAAAAAAAATTACCTCAAACTTTTTTCAACCAAGGACCCCTTATATACCATGATGCATACAAATATTGTCAATAATCAAAGAATAAATCATAGTCCAAAGTATTTGTTCATTTCAACCCAAATCCAAAATATCCTGCGAATTGGAACCGCCAAATCTCTCACAAACGTTAAACGCACTATTTCTCAAAAACTTTTTGCAGACCCCAGTTTGAGAATCACTGGTCTACTGTACTGTACTTTTAATTTGTTCCATTCCAGACATTAACATAATTATTGTTAAGATACTGTAGTAGCATTGCATCCAATTATTATTATTATTTTGTTTTTATTAAAGTTAAAGTTACAACTCTGATATTTTTTATTTTGTTTGCTTAGAGAATGATGACTGGGAGAATTAAGATTCTGCACCTATCATCAAGACTTAACAAAATATGGAATTTTGAAATAAGTGCTATGTGCCGTCCTCTTTGTCGAGAAGCTTGCACATATAGAGCAAGCAACCAGAAGAATGTTGTACAAACAAACCAGTCATTGCAAGAAGCACCTGCCAAGATGCTCTTCACATCAGCATTCTGTAAGTCCACTATGTCTGTGGCCACACACCAACCAGGAAAACTGAAGAAAATACTCAAGAAGATGGGATGGCTGGATCACTCAAAAAGTGTATGTGTCATCTGTTCTATGTTTTATTATACAATTTAATTTTTTTTTAATTTACCATCATCCTCACCATCACCATTTTACAGCCATTTTCCATGCTTGTGTGGATTAGCCATAATTATATGAATGCAGCTCAAAGCTACAGTCTTGCAGCCTTTCTTGTCAGCTTAATATGGTATCTCTGAGGTAATTTTTCAGAACCTCTACCCATGTCACTCTCGGGCTACCCCGAGCTCTCGTCTACTCCACATTCATACTCACACATCTCTTGACCCAAATGGGCTTCTCCTTTCTCTCCATATGCCTGAACCACCTAAGACTGTTCATATGCAAAATCTTACCAATACAGGTACAGTGACCCCTCGTTTAACGAATGCCTCGGTTAACGAAATTTCGGTTAACGAACTGCCTTCCATAAGGATCTTCAATTCGGTTAACGAACAAAAATTCGGTTAACGAATTTCTTACGAATCGACCTCAACATGTTTTCGCTTGCACTGACCGGGCAACCAGCTTTAGTATCAGTCCGCCAATACATTAATCGGTTCTAGGGCTTAAATTCCTTACTATTTTAGTAAATATCAAGAAGTTTATACTATTCAATAATTTCAAAAGTTTAATATTCAATTTTTTAGTCATTTTAACAATTATTGAACATAATTGAAGGTAAAGTGACTAGTTTAATGCGCAGCATCCAGCCTCTTAACACAGCAAACAGGTGTTAGTTTCTCTGTTTTCACTGGAGGTAACATCTTGCTTGAGACTCTCTTCAACTAAACGCTTTTTTTCTGTGTTTCCAAGCAAATTATTGGTCATTTTGAAATATATTTTACATATTGACAATATATAATGCAGTGCAGTGTTGATTTAAAGAAAATAATCTTGAATTACACCAAGAGAGCTAAAATTTTATGGGTGAAATGGCACCATGGGGTGACTCTCATCCACCCCCCAATGCTCTCTTCTTCTTCCTTTTCTCCTCCACCCCCATTCTAAATCCCATCATCATCATCATCATCCAGGAGCCTTCTACATACACACCTCAAAGTAAGTAAACTTTTCTACCATTTTTGTTGAATTTAGGACATTTTCGGTGAGCTGGAACCAATATCAAAACCCATTGAAACAATGGTTTTGGTTAACGAACTTTTCGGTTAACGAACGACCTTCTGGAACAGATTGAGTTCGTTAACCGAGGGGTCACTGCACTCACAATCCACAGTCACTTTCTTAGCTCTGAAAGAGGATTTCCTATCTCAGTGACACATTACGTATCCATCTTGCCCTTCTCATTTCAGCTCACTTAAGCCTATTTATATCATCCCATTTAACTGCTCATGTTAACTGCCGTAAAACAACACACTTCTTATGACAGGTAGATACCGTATATCACGGCCTATAAGACGAAATTTGAACATTAAAAAAATCTGCCCAAAGTTAGGGGGTCGTCTAAACCACCAAGTTTAAAATTCTTACCTCTTAAATATTGTGGTTTAGTGTGTCAAGAGTGGTGATGAAAACATCGTAAGCCACTCACAAGGTCTTACCACTAATTATTTTATACTGAAACTTACGTTTGGCAAGCTGGATTCAAATTAAGATTACCGGTATATTAAAATAATAAAATGTATTATAAACCTGTCTAACATACCGTAAAAGAGATTTATACCCTAAAACACAGCTATCATCACACACCCTCCCCACGCCCCCCCATTTGCCAGTGAGGAGACAAGAAAGGAAAGTGACCACGAGATTGGGCTATTTTTAGCCGTGGAGGTGGTTAATGCATACCGGTATCGGTATATTTACTCATAATAATATTTATCTCCTATAAATAATTGATTTAAATTTTATTTTTTACAAAGAATATTCAGTAAATGAGTGCATTAATTCTTGAAACTATCAACGGTTAATTACAGACGCTCAAGGACGTCACTAGTGTTTCACTACACCAGCTGGTAATATTTGATGCCATATTTGAAGTGAATTGGCCTTATTTTAAGTAACTAACTATAAATAAATACAAAAATTAAAAAAAAAGATCAAAACTGAGAAAATAATATACTGTATGTATGTTGGTTGTCGTAAGAGGAACAATTGCGTAAGTACGTAATATTTTTTCACCAAATCTAATGAAACATACGAGAACATCTGCACAGTAATAAAGATATAATATATCGTATTATAAATAAATAAATAAAACAAATAATTCAGTAAATTATAAAGTAAATGGAAATAAACATGTTATACAAGACGCTCTCTGGCTCAGGGTGAGATGGAGGGAGATAAGGCTATTTATAGCTCGTCTGAAGTGGCCAGTACCTAATGCACCATAAATAATTCATGGAACATTCATTTTTTATAGTATATTCAGTATATATATATATATATATATATATATATATATATATATATATATATATATATATATATATATATATATATATATATATATATATATATATATATATATATATATTTATATTATATATATATATATATATATATATATATATATATATATATATATATATATATATATATATATATATATATATATATTATATATATATATATATATATTTATATTATATATATATATATATATATATATATATATATATATATATATATATATATATATATATATATATATATATATATATTTGTGTAATAAATTATGTAGTAAGTACATACTGGTAACCTTTTTCACTCAAATCTAATGAAACACCATAATTAGAATACGGTGGTTGCTGTTGAACCACATGTTGTATAAATAGTCGAACACAGCCACACCAACGAGACGAGGGAACACTCCCACCACCGATCGTCTCGTGTGAAGCAAGCGATAAATGAAAGCAGTGTGTTTAATATGTTACAGTATATTATAAAAATAAATAAATAAACAAATAAACAAATAAATCAGTAAATCCATTTCAAGTAAATGGAAAATTTACTCGATAACTACATTAGTTCCAGTTATCGGTAAATAGCAGACGCTCAGTGACGCCACTAGTGTTTACACTACACCAGCGGTATAATTTGATGACATTACTTGAAGTGAATTGGCCTTATTTTAAAAAATCAAGGATGGTTGGTAAAGGACTACTGAGTCAGTGGGTAAGTGTCACATTTGGGGTACTGGTCTTATACAGCAAATAGAGCTCAAAAGCTACTTTTTAAATGGAAATTTGGGGGGGGCGTCTTATGCACCCCGCCGCCTTATAGGCCGTGATATACGGTACGCCTTTTTCGCGTGAAAAGAAGGCCCTCACACCATCAATAAAGGCAACAACTCCCAAAACTGCTGATTCTTGCTACTGAGCTAGCTTTGGCACTACCTCTACAGTGATTGTCACCCAGGTAGCAGAATTCCTCAACATGATCCAGGGATATATCTTCAATGTTAAGGTTTTCTAGTCTTGCTAAGTGCACATGATTACCTACACATGCGCCACATTAAATTACTGGCTTAAAATTTAAAACCAGTAACGTAATGCAGTCTACCATTTACACCACTGCACCTCTTGTGTACCACCCACCTTCTACAATCACTGGGTTGGCAATCCTTTATATGAAATTCTGAAAACAAGAAAGAGCCAAACACCTAAATTATTTTTATTGGAGCCTACTGCTTATGAGTATGAAGGCATATGATTATGGGTTTACAGGGTACAGTATAGTCTGCATTTATGCGGTCAATTGAACCCGTGGAGGTCCGTGTAAAATGAGAAAAGCGTAAATGAAATAACAGAACATATGAGATTAATTGAAATAAAGACTGGGCCGACTCCCAAACTCCACTTTTTGTTCAATGCTCTGAATGCGATGATCAGCAGTGCTACCTAGGTATGTTAATTCCTAGCCAATTTGCCAGGCCAACATACAGGCAATTAAAACATCTAATAATAACTTAATAAGTAATATTGGAAGGACACGGCCGCTACCTGGCATTTAATTGCTATTTTGAAAGTCCCTCCTTCAACCAGCCTCCACTGTGAAGCTCAACTTGCCTGGCGATTCAGATATAAACACACAAAGGTAAGCTCCGAATTTGTGTTCTAATTGCTGAAATACTCACCGAAGGATATTATATATTCGTATTTGTACTTAATAGCAGTGATGAAGGTAGAGTGACTTTTATTTGTTATGTCTCTCAATTATTGTATTTGAGACATTTTCTTATACGACTTTGGGTCAGCATAGCGACCAAAATACATTTTCTTTGTGAGTCGTTAGAGCGTGTGACTATTCCTTGCCTTTAAGTCACTCGTGAATGTTGCTGCCTCCCGGCTCGTCTTCACTAAAAGAGAATATGTGAATATATCTATTTATATATACTGTATACATATATATGTATATTGGTTACTTATCTCTTTGTCCCAATTATTCACGTGCTAAAATGAATACAATGACTCTCTCTCCCTACTCTTATGTACGTTCACAAAACCTGGGCTTCCGCCTTGGTTTCTATTTGTTCTCAGCAAAAGGCCAGAGTTGAGTTTGTCTCTTCATAACTTTGATGTCCTCAGTAGCGGGTTCAAGCTTAACTTTAGCGAGGCTGCTAGACTCAGCATTCCTTCCGGAATGTTAACCTTCCGGTCTTACTAGCAATCTAGAATTATGTTGAAATGGACTTTACACCTTCAAGGCTTTATCAAATGCTAAGATCGTCCTTTTTCATTCAGAGACCTCCTCGACCCAAGAGAACTCTTGGTCTCTGGAAAAAGTTACTAATCTTCTTATGGGGCCTATTTACAATATAAATCTGAACAGGGATAAATTACTCCAGAAGGCAGCTTTCCTTAGCAAAGAGCAACGGGTATGAGAATCGGTGAACTGATTTCAATTTCCAATAATCCATCATTATTGGTATTTTCGACGATGTTATCCTTTTTCACGGAGATCCTAAGAAAAATGAAAGGAAGGTTTCAAGCTCAACCTATTAGGATAAAACGTCTAATGGATGAAACTAGGGTTCCTCACATATTGTATCCGTTAAA